TTGAGGTAAGCATGGCAAAAGTGATTGACGGGCAGTGTATATTATTAAAATAATAAAAAACTTACCTATACTCTTTGTCATCTGCTAGTTTTGAAAGATATTCATAAGTAGTGAGGATTGCCTAATTGCTACTATTCAGGCACACGTTTTAGTTAGGTTAGTTAGTTTGGGGTTTGTAGGTTTGAAGTATCTTACATTCGGTGTATAAGACGTAGGCTGATTTTGGAGTTAGCTTTGACGGTGAAAAGGTGCGTCTTATACACCGTACAATACGGTATACCGAAAAGGTACTAGAAAAGTTCAGCATGGCTGCCTGTAAACCTCAAAATACACCTATAGTCACGAGATAAGTAGATCACAGAAACAAAAAGGTTGAAATAAAAACAAATGATGAAACAACCGAAACCAAACAAGTCCCCTACAGAGAAGCTATTGGAAGTCTGATATACCTAGCTAATGCCACAAGACCAGACATAGTCTTTGCTGTCAATTATCTTGCGAGAAAACAATTGGATCCAACAGAGAGCAACTGGAGCAATGTAAAAAGGATCTTTAGATATTTGACAGGTACCACAAATCTTGGCCTGAAATACTTATCTAGTTCAGAGACTCTGGAGGTGTTGACAGATGTAAGCTTCAGGGATTTCTAAGATTCAACATCTACAGGTGGACTGTTTGGAGATGTAACAGCTTGAAGAAGCCATAAACAGTAATACGTGACATCTATTTGCCAAGCAGAATATCTGACTATGGGTGATGCATGCCAAGAATTGATATCCTTGGATAAGTCAGTTAGATATATACTTGGAAAAACCCTATACCCTGTAAGCATATGGTGTGATAACAGGTGAGCTAGAGATTGTACTGAAATGGACGGCAGCCATAAGCTTAAAATGTTTGATCAGAATATGGATGACATAGAGAAACATTTAGCATCCAGAGAATAAACAAGGCATAGAAAACATATGGCTGACACTCATGGAGATTATAAAACAATGTGTGGATGAGAAGAAGGTCAAGGTATTTTGGATACCGACTGCGGAAAACTTGGCCGACGTCATGATTAAGTTTCTATCCCATAAAACTCACGTTTACATAAGAAATAAAATTACTAACATGTTACTTTAACGAAAATTACATGATGTAAAATTATGTTATAAATGATAATGTAATATTTTTGTTGTATGCTTTCAAAATAACAGTTTCAGATTGCCAGGGCAAAGAAAAGAGGATTATAGTAGAGTTTTGAACTAGTTCTTACAATGGCCTTTAGAAATAATTTTAACTTAAACAAATTTGATTGCTTTCATCTTTTATTTTATTTAACGTACAATTTTTTAATTTGTTAAAGGGAGGGAGTGTAAAGAATATAGTTTTGCCGATTTAAATGAGTAATGGCGCTACAGTCTGTTGGGCCTTTCTCCCAATACTACTATAGTGCTATAGTTCATGCTTAGACGCGTGAGCCTTCAGCAAGTGCGCACATTTTATTTTAAATCTCTCGAGTCGAGCTATAAGCGAGAGCCCTTACAAGCATTGAGTATTAACAGGAATTTTTGTATTATTTTTACGAATTCAGCACATCAAACTAGATACGAAAACCGTCTAAAAACTTGACTTATAGTAGGAATAAAATTTCATCTTCAAATGGTGATTATCAAGGCCAAGGGTGTCTGCAATCATTTCGTTATTATTTTTTTTTCATATTCAACGCGTGAAATTACATAAAATATCCTTTCAAATCTTCATAACAAAGAGACGAATTTTTTTACATTGTACTTTACGTTGCCTGCGGGGCTGGTCGATATATGGATCAACAGTTAGGTCAGCGACTCTATCTGAGATATCCGGTGATATTATGTATACATTTTACATATTCTGAGAAGTTAATTTGTACTGAAATTCCCTGCAGCCTAAAGGTTAACATAAAATCTATTAATGCTATATCTTCAAACCCTATTTCCATAAACCTCCGATTCGAATGATCTTTGAACATAACATATTTTAATATTATAAGCTCAAGTACTTATCTAATATAATATAATAACAGACACTGATCAGGTTTCAGAAAAAATTAATTGAAGGGATATTAGTTTTGTATAATTACATGTAATGAATTCAAATTATTTTCTGCAAATTTGGCAAGCCGACGATTGTACACATAACTATTTTACAGGTGATATATTGTGCATGATATAGTATGCGTATGTATCACTTTTCACGTGTGTTACTGTGCACAACAGTATATGTATAAAATAGTGACATACGAGGTGTGTTCAAAAAGTAAGGTGACTTTGTATTTTTAAGAAAAAATATTTAATTATTTACCAATATTTATGTTGTCCCCTTCAAAGTAATCCCCCTCAGATACAATACACTTATGCCAACGGTTTTTCCAATCTTCAAAGCACTTCTCATAAGCACTTTTCGGTATAGCCTTGAGATCTTCCAGCGATGCAGTCTTTATCTCTTCAATCGTTGCAAATCTCCGTCCTTTCATAGGTCTCTTTAGTTTTGGGAACAAGAAAAAGTCACATGGGGCCAAATCCGGTGAATATGGTGGCTGAGGCATGATTGTGGTGTTGTTTTTGACCAAAAAATCTCTTACAAGCAAAGATGAGTGAGCAGGGGCATTATCGTGATGCAAAAGCCATGAATTGTTTTTCCACAATTTTGGGCGTTTTCTTCGTATTCCTTCTCGCAAACGGCGCATAACTTCAAGATAATACTGTTTATTGACCGTACGTCCATATGGTAAGAACTCCTGATGCACCACGCCATGATAATCGAAGAAAACAGTGAGCAAAACTTTGACATTTGAACGAACTTGGCGTGCTTTTTTCGGTCTTGACTCATCTGGGCTCTTCCATTGGGACGAATGGACTTTGGTTTCGATATCATAACCATATACCCATGATTCGTCACCAGTTATGACCTTTTTGAGTAAATCTGGGTCGTCGTTGACGTCATTCAACAGTTCTTGAGCAATGCTCATGCGACGGTTCTTTTGGTCAAAATTTAGCAATTTCGGAACAAACTTCGCTGACACACGTCTCATGCCCAAAACGTTCGAAAAAATTTCATGGCACGAGCCAAGCGATATACCAACATCCTCAGCAACTTCTCTGATAGTGATTCGACGATTTTCCAGAAAAATTTTCTTCACTGCTTGAACGTTTTCATCAGTTGTTGACGTGCTTGGGTGTCCACAGCGAGGCTCGTCATTGGCATCTTCCCGGCCATCTTGGAAGAGTTTGTACCACTTGTAAACACTTTATTTACTCAGAACAGTTTCACCGTATGCCACCGTCAACATTTCAAGTGTTTCGGAGCATTTTATTTTATTTTTTACACAAAATTTGATGCAAATCCTTTGATCCATATTTTTCGATAGCAAGAAATCACCGAGCACGCAAAACACTTATAACCTTTACGCCTCTCACAACCAAACAAAAAATGCTATACACTTGAAACTTGGTACAGATGTTCGGGAAGAGTGTACCAACATAACAAAATAAAAAAATCGATAATCGAAAGTACGTTGCCCGTGAAATTTGAAAAGTCACCTTACTTTTTGAACACACCTCGTACATAATCATCGGCTCGCCCCAAATTTGAATAAAAGTGTTTAATATTCCGACTTCAGATTTGTAATCAGCGACCCAAAGAATCCCCGAAAACTAATTATCAAATTAATTCATCTAACAGAAAATTATATGTATCTAAGGGACAGTAAAATATATAATACGAGTAGTTTCAATCCATAAATAAAACATTCCGCGGATACAAAAAAAATAGACGGGTCGAATATTTGCGACTTGGGGAACAACACCTAGGTAGGCTTACTTGTTAGTCATAATGTAACGGAGAACTGCCCCGTTAACATAAAAATAAATTGTTAATCAATGATGATATGCGGATAATGCAGGTAAAGAATCCGGGCTCGGTTAGGCAGGAATAGCTCGGCTCGTCAGGTGTTGTCAGGGCGTCGTGGCTTCAATATCAGGTCGCGGCGCTAGACCCGCACGCCTAAACGTAAAATTAAAAGGTCGAGGAGATAGGCGGAAGGACGGAATAAAGCAAACGCGCGTTAAGAAAACAAGCGTATTATTTATTAGGACAACGGATAAATAATAACAAAAATAATATAACAGCGGCGAAGCAAAAGGAGAGAGAAAGAAAGCAAGAAGCTGAATTGAGAGAGAGAGAGTAAGATGCGCAGCAGTACTTACAAGTTGTTGACCCGTGAAGGTCGGCTCGCAGTAGGCGCTCGAATTACAAATAGCAGTTTATAATCTATACGCCCGAATAGGCTGGCGCCGATGGCAGGAGGCCGTCACTCACAAACTTCACACTCGCTCGATAATTCAGTTCGGTAGTTCTCTCACACTGCACACTTTAAATCACTCTGCCCAGGATTCACAAGCTCAAGGCACGAGTATCGTATCGACAGCTAAACACGTGCGCTCGCGTTCAAGAACAATTGCCGAATCTGCCGCGCTCAAAAAATCAAGCGCCCTCCTCGTGGTCCGCGCATTCGATAGTCGAACTGTCTCTCTCTCTCTCTCTCTCTCCGTCCGAATCTCTCTCTCTTACCTACCTTGCTTCAGCCCACTGAAATTAGAATGAAATGTACTCGTAATATACATTTGACTTATATTAATAAATTAAAATAAGGGAGTGAGAGACATAACGAGTATCATTCACACTCGTTATAATATTCTGATTGCTTATTTCGAAATTATATTAATTTACTACTAAGTAAAATTAGTAGATGTCATGGATGAAGATTGAAATTTAACCAAATGTACTAACATTTTTCCTCATAGTAAAATGTTATTTTTGAATATTCATGTATTGTGGATTTAAGAATAAAATGATTTTTCCATTTCAAGACAAAAGTAACTAACAATAATATTAATAATATAAACGTGTTCATAAATTCTTCTATAATATAGAAATGAAAAGTTAGCATCTATAATAACCATGGTAAAGGATACATACAGCACGTTCGGCATCCCACTCTGATGCAAAACGTACCATACCGACATCAGCACCTCGCATTTCAGCAAATTTTACTTCTCCAATATCTTGACACTTATCTCTTAGTACTTGCCACGTTGTATTGGGAGGTAACTTGAAATAATAAAATATAAATATTAAAAAAATTAATTACAAGAATAATTCAGTAAATATGAAAAGACTACAGATTAACATTATTTTATTAATAATTTATGTTCTAGTTGTGTAATATCTGCATCAATTAAAAAAAATATAGTTGTTAAAACTGTACATTTTTTAAAGTGATTATTAAATGTAGCCATCCACCATTATACGTGGAAGTTACAATGTATTCATAGCGTTAATAGAAAATTGTAAATGTTAGATTGAAAAATTTTACCAATAAGCATTAAATTTTAAACTACAAAGCACATATATCGTATAAACTAGGGGCCTCGCATTCCTGCGCGTTACTCCCGTCAACCCTCCAGAATCAAATAACAAAACAAGAAAAATAATAGCTTCCACAGTAGCAATTGAAATTATTTTGAAAATTAGAGGAATGAAATTAGCATTCAGAATGTTTGAGTCTTGCAATTGATAACAAAGTTTAAAAAATAGAAAGAAGAAATATTTTATTATGAATTATGTATTTTGAAAAAGCTACTATCAACTCAAGAACCCAAATAATCCGAATAGGTTCTCTATTTATTAAACAGAAACTGAGATTTTGATATGACACAGCGGTGGTGGCGAATTGAAATCATAGATTATCATAGTTTAATAGTTTATAAATTTCTTAAGGTTAATTAAGATTAAAGCTTTTTCGATATTAACATTAGGTTCTATGTAGGTGTTACTTATCACCTTTGAAGTTAACATTATAATGCGTCTAAAACTTGTAGAAAAACAAAGTTAAATGTGAATAGATTTAAAATTATTGTTTCTTTACATACACTTTTTAAAAAAATATCTAGAAAATATTAGAAAATAAAAATAAAAATTTAAGTGGTAAAAAGGGGAAAAAGGGACGAAAAAGGGGAAAAAAGGGTTGCGGATGAGGGATCAGAAAACTCTTCTTCATATATATATTGCAACGGTAGTCGATTTAATTAATCGAACCGTTCACGATTCTGCTTCTCGCACGTTATTTCTAACAATTGAGAGAGAGAGAGGGGGCGCGCGATCTTTTGAATGAGCAGCTACGCCTCAGCTGTGAACGCGAATTTACCACCGATTTGTGTCGCACTTTGTTTTCACCGAATAATTAGTTTTCTGGGACAATTTCGTGCGTGAGTGCAACGGTATTTTCGAGGTAAAAAGCAGCAGCAGTGCAGAAGAAGTATCGTAGCTAATTGGAGGCAGTACGAGGCAGCGTAGCTGATTAATCGAGGGGCAGCGGCAGTTGATAATTTTGCATCAACAATTACGGCTGATCACCGTAATTGCACCGCATGGTAGGTGCACCTTCCGTCATTATATGCGATACAAAATACATTCGGTATTTTGTCTAATCGTGTTAGCGTTATTTTTTGTATTCGCGTCGAGCGTTAGTTCGCGGTAGAATTCGAATCTACTCTCTCTCTCTCTTTCTCATTAAACATAGTTAATTGTAAAATCCTATTCGCGTGCGTTAGTCTTTCGGCCCTACAAAGACTATAGTGATTTTTATAAATTAAGGTTTGTTAAATTTATTCGCCGTTTTCGTCATTTAATTTTTCTAGTAGCTAAAGTAATTGAAAAAGGCTTAGGTTTTAATCTGATTACATCTAGGGGATTAAGAAGATTAGGAGTAAAGTCGCTCACACATAAAACTCATCGAGTATCACAAGACACGTGACTTAAGGTGAGTTCTACTCCGTTTGATAGAAGACAACTAGGATAAATCATCTGACATTAAGGCGAATACACGTACTATCATACGTGTTTAACGGAGCGGCGATTTGCTCTGCATCGTGGGAGTTTGTTCTTAAATAAATTTCCCATTTTTCAGATAACCTCCCCCGTTACATGGCGCCCAACTAGTATTAACACCCGTTTCGTGCGAATAGGATTGTGCGTCGAAGGTAATCGACGCACGACAGAGAGAGACGATTGCGCGAGCGTTTAGGAAGGTTTGTTTTTGAAATTAGAGTACTCTATGATACCGGCGCCTCATCCATGGGTTAATTAGGGTTGAGATTGGCATCGGAGATGCGACTCGGATTGAATGTGACCAGAGCGGGTGACGCAAGGCTCGCTGATGGGTGCCCATGCCCTATAATTGATCACGTGATGTTCCCCTTTAAAGTAGGAGGAGTCACGAACGAAATCAGAGTCACCATTATGCCACTGCTCACGGATGACTGCTACGTAGGCGCGAACTTTATAAGAGAGTTCCGCGCAGTTTTGGATCCCGACGAGGATGAGTTATGGCTTAAAGACGCCTAGGTGAAAGTACCAATGGAAGTGGCTGGAATTGATGGTACGGCATTTCTCGCACTGGTAGGACTGTGGGGGGCCACGGAGATACAGCTGGAGGAAATAGAAAACCTCGTATGGATTGATTCCTGACGGAGGTCAGGCTTTAAGCTGTGCCGTGGGGGTTGAGCACGAAATAAATGTTGGAAATGCTTGTCCCATCAAACAGAAATACTACCCAGTCTCTGATATAGTGCGAGAGGAAATGCACGCGCTGGTTAAAGATATGCTGGAAAAAGATGTAATCGAACCAGCGATCAGCGGATGGTCAAGTCCAATAGTAATGGTAAAGAAGGTTGATGGAAAATATAGGTTTTGCGTAAATTACCAAAAGGTAAATGCGATTACCAAACTGGATGCCTACCCTTTACCATATATAAACGACATTCTAAGACGGATAAGGGATGCAAAGTTCATATCTACTCTGGACTTGAGCAGTGCGTACCATCAAATTCCCCTAAAGGAAGAATCGCGTCCGATATCAGCGTTTACGGTACCTAGATTAGGGCACTTTCAATTCAAGAGAATGCCTTTCGGACAGTCATACGCAGGAGCGACATTCCAGAGGTTGATGGACAAGGTGATAAGCCCGGATATGGATCCATTCACTTTTGTTTACCTTGACGATGTAATTATGGTTTCGTCGTCCTTTGAGGAGCATAAACGGCACCTAGAAATGGTATTAAAGAGAACAGGTGCGGGCATAACCATAAATAAAGCCAAAAGTCACTTCTGCAAGACGGAAGTCGGGTACTTGGGAGTTCTTGTGAACCAGGATGGAGTAAGACCAGATCCAGAGAAAATACGACCGATATTGGAATATCCAACACCCGGGACTGACAAACAGGTGAAGCGATTCATGGGAATGACCTCGTGGTATAGACATTTTATACCCGACTTTGCCATGATCGCTGACCCTATAAACCGCCTGACAAAGAAGAATGTACGTTTCTCTTGAGAGGAGGATAAAGAGCGAGCTTTCACGAGGTTGCAGGAGGCGATGGCTTCCGCCCCAATACTGCAATCGTCCGATCCTAACGGTCAGTTTATACTGCAAACTGATGCCAGTGACAGTGGGATCGGGGCAGTCCTCAAGCAGGATGTCGATGGAGAAGAGCGTGTGATAGAATACGCCAGTCGATCACTCAACAGTGCTGATAGAAATTATACGGTCTCCGAAAAAGAGTGCTTGGCAGTGGTATGGGCTATTGGAAAGTTCCGGCCGTACATTGAAGAGCATCACTTCAGGGTCATCACGGATCATAATTGCCTGAAATGACTTCCCAATATGAGAAACCCCACGGGAAGACTGGCGCGATGGACGCTAGCATTGCAAGGCAATGTCTTCGATATAGAATATCGAAGGGGGGATCTCAATGTGGTGCCAGACGCCGGCCTGCAAATAGTCGGCAAATAGTCGGCCGGAGACCACTGACGCCTGGTATTTGTAACCATACCAGGAAGTATGCCAAGACCCACACTCTCACTCTACTTGGAAGGTAGTGGGAGGGAGGCTGTATCATTATAAGCCTAATGAGGACGGTGAAGGGTCCATCGACAACGACGAAGCGTGGAAGCTTGTGCGGTGCCTAGGGAGAAAAGGCACCAGGTGCTCCAGGAGGTCCATGATGCTCCTACAGCAGGACATCAAGGACGAGAGTGTACGTTCTCCAGGGCTAGGCGTTTGTACTACTGGCCTAAGATGTATGATCAGGGCAGGGAGTACGTAAAGAGTTGCCCGATATGTTAGCAATGCAAGGTGGAACAAAGAGCACCTTGCGGGCTGATGGGTCGTAGACAAGTGTCACGACCCTGGCAGGTGGTGGCCGGTAATATCACTTGTCCCTTTCCCAAAAGCTCTCGAGGTTTTGAGTACATCTTAATCTTTGTAGACTTGTTTACTCGCTGGGTAGAGTGCGTTGCAATACGCAAAGCCAATGGGAAGACAATCGCAAGGGAATTATACGAGAGGATTGTCACTAGGTTTGGCGCGCCAGAGGTATTCTTGTCGGATAATGGAACCGAATTCAAGAATCAGGAGGTCGATTTATACCTTCAGATGAACGGCATCCAGCGCGCCTTGACTCCCGTGTATCATCCCCAAGCGAATCCCACAGAGCGAGTAAACAGGACACTCAAAACCATGATCACATCTTACGTAAGCCGTGATCATAAGAGCTGCGATGAACACCTGTCAGAGTTCAACTTCGCTTTGAACTCGGCAACTCATAGCGCCACGGGATATAGTCCTGCGATGCTCATGTTTGGGCGTCAGCTGGTACCTCCTTTGACGTTCAGAAGAACCCAAGATCAGCAGGCCCTTGAATGTTCGGAGAGTCAAGCTGTGGTGGATTGGGCTGAACATATGGAGAAGCTCCCTAATTTATGGAAGATGGCCAACTCCAAGTCAAAGAAGGAAGTTGCGCGTCAGGCGGCTTATTATGACCGGAAGAGGCGCCAACCCGAGTTTAAGGTCGGAGATTGGGTTTGGAAGAGGAACAGGATTCTCTCTTCGGCTGCCCAAGGCATTTCAGCCAAATTGGCGCCGAAATATGCCGGTCCGTACGTGATTGAAGAGGTTTGTGGTTCCAACACGTACAGACTAGGCAATCAGCTGGAGATCCTGTCCGAGATCTTCCATGCCAAAGACCTTAAACCGTACTACGGTCCGGGTG